GTACAGAGTGGGAATTTGCTTCTAATTTGCTTCGCATTTGATACAGACCGCATACAACGTTCTTCCCCTGACCACCAACTTTCAGGAACCATGATTTATGAAGGACTTGTGCGACTAACGCCACAGTAGTGTTCACTGTAACGAAGCATAGAGATTTATTGAGATCGGTAGTTCTTCTCATCTCTCCTTATTCGATACCATGCGAATGCCTTCAGCTAGTTTGGCCGAGGAGTTCCTTAGGCATTGTTCACAGTTTTCGAATCATCCGAATATTCGAATTCGCGAAAAGAATTATATGCGTATCGACCATGAGAATTTCCTCCACTTCACCCGATCGATAGGTATACACCTCAAAGGATTCGCAGATTCGAATGCGCGATTCGAAGCTCCTCCCATTTTTGTGGATCAATACGCATTTGAATCTTTTCGCAGATCCGCAGATTCGTTCGTTTCGAGCGTTTTTCGGCTATGGCGCAAGGTGTGAACGTGCCTTAACACATTGACGCCCGCACTGATTTCGGCGCATGTCACACATGTGACATAGCTGCATTACCTGCGTGCATACCCGGCGATGCACAAATGTCACATTCGGGACATTTTGTGGAATTTCTCTACAGGACCCATATATCTCGCTACAAGACCCATGTATTTCGCCACAGGACCCACACAACCTCAACTGCAACCTCCCTACTGCGCCGGCACCTATTGCTTTCGTCCTTTCATTGTTCTGCTTTTTTTGCTTCTTGCTACTTTTTTGCCCGGCTTCTAATCAGAAAATGTATGCAGTGATTAGTAGCCATTGAAGTTTATTTCTAAACAGTTTTGAGGGTTCAAACTGAGGCACTGGTTGTGCAAGTTGAAGTTCCAAAAGTATCTTGAAATTGAAGATGGAGAGCAGCCATGTGTTTAGTGGATTCAAGGCACTAGTGGAACTTCTATAGTCACAGAAGTAATGAAAAAAGATATAAGGGGAGCTTAAATCAATGTGCATACCGGGCGATGCACAAATGTCAGATGTGGGAGTTTCGACGTGCATACCCGGCGATGCACGCGGGCTGCAATGTGTTAACAATGGCTCTGTACTCTGCTCGCGAGGTAGTGCAGAGAGTGGACGTACACGCGGAGAGCACAGAGGGCTCGCGTATGGCGTGTGAATGTCGGCGAGGGAGAGCGGCGGGTGTCCCCCAAGAGGCCCATCGCGCGGCGAAGGAAGAGACGCAGATGCGGCAAAGGACGAGTCGCAGCGCGTGCTGTGCGATATGAGACGTAGTAGTATGGTACACTCTTTTACCTGACGCCTAACCGCTACAGTATGCGCTGCGACTCGTCCTTTGCCGCGTCTGCGTTTCTTCCTTCGCGCGCCAGGCTCTTGGGGGACACGCGTTAGAGCATCCGGTCAGGCTAAAATCCCCCCCCCATCCGACTGATATCTGTACCCTCTCGTGTTAGCACATCTCTCTCAGTGATCGTACAACTTTCACTTTGATGCTCACGGTAACCCTTAAAAGGCGCCACAATCAATGTTAAACAGATAGTAGTCCTCTGTTCCACAACGGACGTGACAGGAGTTGATCCGTAGGCGAAAACTCGTCCAAATTATGGGTGTGGTTCACTAGAACAGAAAGCGGCTTTTTCGCGTTTCGCAAGTTTTTTGTTTACTCGGGAATCCTCGGGTCCATCTTGATTTTTTTGTGCTGGGAACCTCAGATGTCCACCGTTTGATCATTGGAATGTTTCGCGCTGCGAAACGCGAAAAAGTCGCTTTCTATCCCAGTGAACAACCATCCACCAACTCGTCCAGAGCCTTTATTTCGTTGTAGATATAGCCGCGTCTCTTTCGCCACCCCGGTTGCTTAATGATTCGAAATGCTTGACATATAAAAGTTCCGCTGACAAGCTGATCCCATCTTTCCAGAATCTGCTGCGCCACTATTCCAAGAAATGGAGGCAATTGTCGAGGTGCTGGACATCTCGGATTTTTTGGATCCACATCAAATTGGCGGTTTCATTGGGAAGAAAGGCTGCAATTTAAAAAGAATCGAGTACAATAACAAGGTACGTTACGCATTCTCATATTCGAAACCAGGCAATTGGTGGGATTTTTGTCGGATGCGACACATTGTACTAACTGTGGTAAGGACAGATCCGTTTTGGTTGAATGCAATTATACCGATACACTGTTTCCCGCGGTGGAGTGTGTCGTGACTGCAGACTTGGGAACACACTTTGCATTAGGTAGCACCAAAAGATCAAAAAACGCGTGATTTTTCTTGAACCATTGCCACGTTTGCTGATAAGTAGTAAGTGCTGCATGTAAGACCCTTCGATATCTAACAAACCTAATATTTTCAAATGAATATACCGGATTTCAAAATGAAGATGATTAATTTATAAGCAATTCTTTCACACTCTCTTTCAATTCGGATCGCGCTTGGTTCAACCTAGGCCATCAACATCCGAGATCGGTTATCATCCTGTTGCCATTCTGCCCCATAAAACCTGACCTTGAAGCTGTTCGATAACGTCGAGCTTTTTCTATTTTTTGGGTCAATATTTCCTCTTGTAGGTCTACATTACTATTTTCACATCACTGAATTCAGGTCATCCTGCAGTTGGAGCAGGAAATCGAGAACGACAGCGTAAAAGTACGCCTCACTGGCATGCCGAACGCTGTCGAAGCTGCAAAAATTGAAATTTATGAGTTACTGCTTATCATCCTACGGGGATCGTTCTGCCACACAACAAAGATTCCTAAACGATATGTGGGACCGCTCATAGGTTTGTTCATTTGTTTTCATGTTTTCTTTGAGCGCGGTTATATATCCAGTTTTCCGGAAGTATCTCAAAACGCATGCAGCTCAAATGTAAAATGTGCCCATGGGATCTCAATCAGTAAGGAAGCACGTGATGCGGCTCCTTACTCTTAAAGTAATCCAATTTTCGCTAGGGGAGTCTGCGGTGGATTTCCAAGTCCTTTCCATGTCCTTCGATTTTGATTCAGTACACCGGTTCCCGAATGTTTCCCCTAGTTTTGTTTCAAAGTAGCAAAATAGAAAATAGAGGCGCAGTGCCGTTCATTCTATGGAATTTATTGAAGAAATGGTAGGACGTTTTAGGAAATATGACAGCATTACCTGTTCGGTTATTATGTAGGAATAGAAATCGTAGGAGATGGATATTCTTGTCACAACTAGACTGTACCAGACTTGTCACGACGGCCATTTCGCATAGGATTGCTTATGTCAAAACATTTCTTCTACTCCGAAAACATCCGTTTTTCTTAGCTTCATTGCGATATGCAGTTTTCAGGTAAACGAGGGACCAGAATCGAAAATATCAGGCTCACAACTGGTGCACGTATAAATGTTGGGGAAACAGGAAAAGACGGCTTCACCACTCTGCAAATTATTGGTGAGATTCATTTTTTTTTCGTGAACTTCGTTTTTATCAGGGCGGCTCCCTTGCTATGTGTCACTTTTGTTTCTTTTTTGAAGGATCTATTTTTTATAGAAAACCGATGCTTACCCGTGAAAAAAAAAACTTTCGCCCCCTTCTTACTTTTTTAGTATTACTATCTTTCTCTTACTACTTTTTTTCATAGAATAAAGGGCTGGATCTATCATCAGGAGCAATGAGTTGATAATGAGATTATTTTCGCGTGGGAAGGAGAAGAAACAACAGTTAATATTGAACTATCTGCTGCTTTTTCTCTCTCTCTATCTCTCATCCCAGCCCCCCCCCCCCCCCCCCCATAAGAATGATCCGTATGGATTGTTCTGGATCGACTAAATGTTCGAGATTAAACCTCTCGTTTGCGAAACCTTGCTGAACTGCCGGACGACTGGCCAATACCCGAACTGACAAAAGTACCGGAACTGTCTTCTATAAGGCTCCAGAGAAGTAGGTAACTCAGGGGTAAGATATTCGGAACAGTACAAATCCTTGATCAAGCGGAACGGCCGGGAATCCGACTCACACCATAGAGACTGGCGATTTCCAGTGAGAGAGCACTTTTTGCTAGACGCATAGGTTGGCGTAGTACAACATTGCATCGCACCCATGTGCATTTTTGCTTATGCGATCCATTTTTGCTTATGCGGCACTTCTTTTCAGGTTTTTTATGCACTTATCCAGATGCCTTTATTATACGGATCTACCAATTTCGCTTTGGTTCCATTTCGGTTTTAAGCTACACATCACGCTTTGTAGGACGGTTTGAAATCCGATATTGAACGCTGCGACCGCGTTCACAAAATCGCGCTCGTCTTACGCGGTCAGAAAGCGCAAGACCGCCGTCACACTCGGCGACGGCGGTCTAAAGACACGCGCTGTAGAACATGGTAAATGAAGAATGATACTGTGTCAACTGATGTTTCATTTGTCTAGTAGTGGTTCTATGGTTATTTACAGGCACCTTCCGTCAGATCGTTGCCGCAACCAACATGATAAAAGAGCGAGTGGACAGCGTAAGAAACCCTAATTCCGTTTATGAACGACCAGATCGGCGAGAGTTTCACGAAGTATTGAATGAAGTGATCGACGATTACTGAGTAATAATGAGAATAAAGAAATTTTCATCTAAAAATTTACAAAGTGTGCTTTCTGAGAGCAGTCTTCGACGTATAATGTCCTCATTCGTTTGCCCCACGCCAGAGAACGATTGATAATTTTTTGATAATCCTATCCATCCTCATAGGAAGTTTGACAGTAACCCAATGATCGCCACTGGCGGCATGATCAGTCGAGGCTGGACGACTGGCGGAAGACGGTGTTACGCGCGAACAATCAATAACCCCTCTTCAAAATGGGCACCCAAGCACGAATTCTGTTGAATATAATGAGCGTCCAGGCGAGGAGAGCAGCTGAAAGGTAGGGAGGTACGATAGATTTGTCGCCGTTCAAATGAAAAGAGCTTCCCAGTATTACGAGGTAAACACCCAGTAACTCAAAGCGAGGGATTACGATGAGATTGGGTTGGGTTCATAGTGGAAGTGGGATGCTGAATAATGCCCCAGTGGCGAAAAAAGCAAAGAAATCCGTCAAGAAGGCGCAAAATGGGACCCTTTCTTTGCCCGTTGACCTCCGATAATGGACGAGCTAGCAACCAATTAAGAGGTCGTTTGCACATGTTATGCTGATAGCCGCTATCATTTCAGCAAAGATCATGCTTTGATTGATCACGCATCCAAAGTTATAGGATACACTTTCAAGTGAATACTCATCCAAATGACAAGAACAATGATACTAATAGCAACACACTATTCGTGATCGGCAGAGCACAGGCGGCGGAGGTGGACCTCAGGAGAGCAGTCTCAGGGCGCTGAACTAGCGCACCTTTGGCCCATGAAAAGACCACGGAGCCGGATGCAGCAAGCCCCGAGAGATGTGTCCCATCAGGGTCAACCCTACTCGTAACAACGTAGAGTCGTACTCAGTTGAGCTTGGAGCAGAGTCAACCCTGCGTTGCGCAGTTTTCAACGGCCACGTTGCGCAGTTTGGCCGGACGCATAGTCGGTCGGACGACAGCAACGACTGCAAGTGTCGCACAGCATTGGGTGCGTATCGATCTGCGACACTTGCAGTCGTTGCTGTCGTCCGACTGCTGCTGTCGGACGACAGCAACGACTGCAAGTGTCGCAGATCAATACGCAGCTACTATTCCACACTACAGTGGGACTTTCGAAATACGATCACGCGCAGTCACGTGTTGTCTGGGTTTGCATTGGGTGACCGCGTCGCCTTCCATTTGCGACCGCGGTTTATGCGACACCTGCAGTCGTTGCTGTCGTCCGACAGCAGCAGTCGTTG